AGTTCAGTAATCCAATACAACTCTCAATATAGTAGCCATTTCAGACACTCACTTTCACATTGCTTAAAATCAATGTTTTCAGTTCCTGCAAGAGTTACACTTATTGAGGAAGATTTGCAATATTGTTTAACCCCTTAAGGACCAAACTTCTGGAATAAAAGGGAATCATGACATGTCAGTAAAAAGGTGACAGTAAAAAGATCTCTAATGAAACACTACCTCAGTTGGATTAAGAAGCACAGAATTCAACTCTATGTTCACGTGTGCATAATATTACTTATTACCTTATTGAAGCCTAGTATAACCCCTTAAGGACCAAACTTCTGGAATAAAAGGGAATCATGACATGTCACATATGTCATGTGTCCTTAAGGGGTTAAAATGAATTTCGACAATACTCCAGAATAATTCTTTAACCCTTTAAGGACACATGACATATGTGACATGTCATGATTCCCTTTTATTCCAGAAGTATGTTTACTAGTTGTTTGACACACATAATATGCACAACCTTTATATACAGATTAATATGCTCATCATGTTAAGTAATAAACTCTATATCACTAAATAAATTGGTAATAAGTAATATTATGCACACATGAGTAGGTGTAGTTATGAATAAGTATGTGTATAATTATGATCTGGATTCATACATTGAAAGCATTCTGCTAGAAATGCATTTGGTAAACTTTGATCAAACCACATCACAAATGTGTAACAAAAGTTTGAACATAGAGTTGAATTCTGTGCTTCTTAATCCAACTGAGGTAGTGTTTCATTAGAGATCTTTTTACTGTCACCTGATACAGAATGTTATGTAGCATTTACAGTTCATAGTATAGAAAAAAGTTTTTATTCTGCATTATCAGAAACAAATAATAGCATGCACTCTAGACCTGGGGAACAACACATCTAGACTTCAGAAGTAACTCCAGCCACGGCAGATGACTGAAAGGTTTTGCAAGCCATGTTCATGTACTGTACAACTTATATGAAATTTGAGATGTGTCAGAAGATATCAACTCTTCTGAAATTATATTCATGCATTATGTATACACACTTCTTTGGAGCAACAGACTGCACAATGTATATCAAGAAGAAATGCATCATACATAAAGGAATGTGTCTTGGTTCAAAGTCTGAGTGTTATTGCTAGAACTGGGATCTTTTTATTTTTAATAAGCAAACCCTATCAGCTAGGAATGGAAAATGTGCAAATGCCAAGTACCAGACCCATCATGTCTGGATTTTTTATAAACATTTTTGAATTTACACTAAAATGTAAAATCAAGTAGCAGCATTGTGCATCTTCTTACATATGAAAAGTGCCCAATGCTTTGCTTGATGAGAAGTCTGGAAGCATTTTAAATCAACTCAATCAGTGAAACCCCTTTGTGGCTTGAACATGGATCACCTGTGTTTTCAGATGTGCATATAATATCGAGATTATTAAGTAAAATATTTCTGCAGGAGGACTAGTCATATATTAATTGAAAAATCAGATATCTGTTACAGAGTGCAATTATGCTAGTGAGTCAGACTAGCAGAGAGTATCATTGTACTCTATCAGATATCTGATTTTAAGGTCAGAAAGCTATAGTATAATGTTTAAGGTCAGACTCTGCACCTCTATGTCTTGGCAAATGTTAATGAATACTTTTGCGACTCCTGATGTGAACACAGAAAATTTCTATACTAAGCCTTCAAATGACCCAGCATTGATTCCAAGACCTTTATGGGTCTTGCCTGTGGCTTTATGAAAACCCAAAAATGGTCTGTCTTCACCTTTAGAGTCTGAAAGCAACAAATATAGAGTAATCAAAGCCTACATTATAGCACACTTTCTTGAATAACTTATGCACACCAAATGTCAATAAAGGTTGTAAAATGATCATGTTCAACACGTATTACCCCATGTATTGTAAATGATTTTCTTTAATACTGGGCAGTTAAAATTAATGCAGTTTAAAGTATTTGAATGAATGACAAAATTGGAACATTTGTTGAGTTATTGAAAGTTTCCATTATGTAGAACAGGGGTAGACAACCTTTAGCACTCTAGATGTTGTGCTCTACATCTCCCTTGCCAATATTGTGGATATAAGTAAATTATTGGAGATCTAATCCACAACATCTGGTGTGTCGAAGGTTGCCTACCTCGGATGTAGAATATATAATGCATGAGTCTTCTGCCAAAAAGGATTAAATGCAAGAGTCTTCCATACCATTATTTAGACGCTTTAGGCTAACACTCAAAATGAAAGAATTGATGTGTGGTGCATTTTCTAATTTTTATTTGAAACATGATCCCATACCCTTTTCACTAACCCTTCAAATATCTTGTTGTACTTGTACTCCTTTGCATCTAGACTGCCTTCAAATAACAAGCATGGCAAGTTAGATATTTTTAGCTGGCAAAGCAAAGGGCATATACTTGAAAATCAGAAGATCCCTAATATAAAATGCAAGCTTGCATATGTGGATCCCCTTCCTCAAATTCTCCCTAAAATGTAACTTTACTTGACTGATGGTTAGCAAACCTGAAGATTCTCTTTACAGATATGTAATGCACTTTCTATGAGTAAAAATTGTTAATCATCAATCTGATAATTGCTTTTATTGCTATAATTAGTAACAAGTGGCTGCTATGCTATGCTGATTGGTATGAACGCAGTAAGATATGTGATCATCAAGATATAACATTCCTTAATATAATACACCTGTAGGAATGGCTTGGGGTGGCCGTTGTTAAGTGGACAGAATGCATGGTTCAAGTGTCACCCTCCACCCCCTATCCATACCCTCCTCTACACACGCAGACAGCCTTCTTTTTGTATCTACAGGCTGCCCACGAATATCTAAGGCTGAGATTTATTCAAAGCCTGTGCAGAGGTGATCACACGTTTCCTTCAACCTCTGTTTTACCAGATGGAGTTACAAAGGCATGTTCAGATTGCCAATAAGCAGGTTAAACATATTCTGCATGTCTGTGTATTTCCTGTGCCACTGAACACATTATAAAATGTTAACGTCTTTTTAAGGCTGTGATGACCAAATTGCTTTTAATATTAAATACAGCATTATATAAAAATGCATAGCTTATTTAATACTCCTTGTATATGTTTTGAGACTCGATAGGACACTGTCAATGATAGGAATCTAACTCTCAGCCAACTCAGATGAATATCCATGGTTAAAGATGTGTCTGGTATTCTCTGGATCTACCAGTTCAGCCCAAATTACAATGATAATATATTTAATCCATACCAGTCTATAGCATAATCCAACCCACAGCTCCAACTAACATTAATATGACAAGTTAGTAGGATCTCCTCACTCCTATGTGAAACAAGATCTAAGGTAATGGAAACAGTATCAGACATAAAACATTAATGGTTAATGTTTAGGATGATTTCTTAAAATAAATAAATATAAAATAGCAATAAATCAATGTGTAATATAATTAAGCATAAGAGGAGATATGCCTGTTTTATATATATATATATATATATATATATATATATATATATATATCACACACACACACACACATATATATTAATGTATATATATATATATATTTATATATATATATTATATATGTTATATATATATATATATATATATATATATATATATATATATATTATTTATTTATTTTAAATAGAGATATACCTAAAATTGAATTTGATGGATGTTTTATATATGCCTAGACAAAAAGAACTAAAGGCATACAAATAATTACACATGTAATCACAATCCCAGTGGGATTAATGGGTGAAGGATGATATCAAATAAAGGCCAGCTGAGCTATTCAATTAAAGCCTTCAACAAATAATAGTCATGTTCATGGGAATCGAGAAAGGCACATACAGTTTAGAAATAATTCCATTTGTAGAACACATGCATATTGCATGCCACTTAATTGGAACTATTGAAATCTTAGGTCATCTTTTTGGGCAATCACCTTGTTGTTTTAATCTTGTGCCTCAGTGTTTAAATTAACAATTTATCAAATAAGCTTTCCCAAAAACAAGACACCATTCTCCCATTTCTGTTATACACTGATTTTATTGATGAGCAGTTATATAGCTAGTCACTAGTGATCCATTCATCCCACATTAAATGTTCCAGTGCATAACATAACTGTGAATATTGAAGTCTGGGGGCAGGTGGGATTTAATATTAAGAGTTACTAAACACTCTCAAACCCCTATGTCTTACTAGAGATAGTCCTTGATCATTAACCTCTTGAGAACTTGTGGGTTTGTGAGCCTATCAAGTATGCATGTGAAAGTCAAGTTAGAAAGCCTTCTTTTGCCCATTTCATATGTCTTCCTGTTTCTTTCTCAATAATCAGAGCAGTCGCCATAAATGACGCCCACCATGCAGTGCTGAAACGACTTATCATGTATCAAGTTACCCATATATTATGTTCCTGTGAAAATGCATCATTTCCCTTGCCATCAGGTGAACGCTGTCATATACGCATATGGCATTAGTATATAAGGAGAATTGCGTGAAAGCTGAATTGAAAGCTAGGTAACTCTCAGTTCTTGTAGGTAACCTCTCAAGTATGTGTATAATGTCCTCTGAACTGCCCTGAGGCTATCCCCCTACACACACACCATGCAATAAATGGAACATCATTTGTGGAACGTCGGAGGGTAGTTCTGCCTTATTGCCAAATTATACTGCTTCTCCTTGTGACTTACAGTGAAAAAGTAGCATTTTCTTTTGCACTGTCCTCAGTGATCACAAATTCACCAGTGTACAACTTAATAGCTGCTACTACCTGCAGCTGAGTATTCTGCAAGCCTTTACTTTTTGATTACTAACCACCCAAACAGGAGACATGCAAAAGTATTATAAGCATAAAGCTTACCCTTAGCTGCAGTGAGAAAGACCATACAGACCAAAAGCAGATACTTGAATTTCTCCAACCCAGTCATGTCTCTATTTAATCCACACAGTCAATGGCTTTGATGAAGCTATTTTGACCGTCTTCTGTAAATCTCACTAATGCAAGCCACGGGAGCGCAGAATAGCCAGAATATATGGTAGTGCTCCAGGTTCCAAAAACAGGTCTGACGCCGCTTGCACTTGGCGATAATCGCTGTTGGCTCTCATGTCATCATGCACAGCCTGAAGCCACTGCAGGGATCAGGACTGGTAGATCTGCAAGATTGTAGAGAATGCCTTTCTAGATCCTAAGGGTGAAAGGCAGCGAGTGAGCGAGGTGGTGCTGAACGGACAGCGACAGGGTAAGAGAGCGGCGAGCTTATCCAAGGAGCTGGAAGGAGGACTGGCTGTGGCTGGGGACCAGAGAGAGAGGGAGTGAGAGAGGGGGAGAGAGGGAGCGAGAGCAAAGCAGACAGACTGGAGTGCTTAGCAGCAGAAGGAGCTGGACTCAACCATCACTGATCACCGAGAGGGGAAAAAGACTGGAGATGCTCAGGCACAGAGACCTCCCCAACAGCAGTCTCTTTACAGCCACGTCTCCCCAAGACTGAGAACACCATCCCTCATACAGTAGAGCTCAGTGCGCACTGGAACACAGACCTGACAGTATGCAGCTCTACAAGTCTGAATCAAGCAGGAGCGACACAGAACCGCACACAGAGACACAGTCTGAAGAGTTAACTCCACATATGATGGCAATCATATACTTTCAACAGACTTGGGGGGAGGATACCACATTTACATGTAACTCATAAAAAAGAAAATAAATAGCAACAACAAATAAAAGCTTCAAAGAAACGAGTCTGTCTGTCTGTAAGATGTGCAGTTGCCGTTTAAAAAGCACAAATCTTATTTGTGCAGCAGCTTGCTAGAATGCTGTTACTAAGCATTTGGTTGGTATGAGATTTGCCTGTTACTTCTCATTGTTACAGCGTTGTTGCAGTAATCTCAGCCCAGAAATAACTAGGTTGAGATGCATTCTAATTAAAGAGATCAGTGTTCTTTGGTTGGGGTTGGGAATGGGCTCTCATAAATACAGAGCTTAGCTTTCCATAGATCCTAAATGATAGCCAGTCAGGGGGTTTTGGCACCTTCAGTACTCTGTTAGTTCATTTGCAGTTCTTTATCAGAATAAATTGACCTTTTTTTTTTTCGTAAGTAAAGATAGACAGGAAGGTGAAATCTCCTTGAGAGAGAATATATCCTCAGAGCTGTGGCACCAGTAATGACTCCTGTCACTAAGAACAATCTATTTATAAAACGATTTATACAATTCTGCAGCCTATTTCAGATTCCACCACATTTCTGGAACTCTGAACATCTGTGTATTGTGTGGGTTCTCTACAGTGGGATAAGAGAGGATGCTGTGAGTTGTGCACCCTAAAATGGATATTCTCCTTTCACATGTCATACATACCTAGGCAAAAAGAAGTGTCAAATCCATATATAACTGGCATTCACCATCAAAAAGCAGCAGACTGACTCTTCACAAGTGGCAAGTTTGCCCAGAAACCTACAGATAAACCAATGAACATGAGTTGCACATCTGTCAAAGAGTTAATGACTAGCACTCAAATGGTTAACGAATTATACATTTATGATACAGCATGCAAATTATTAACAAGTACTGTAAACGGAACTACATATATCAAATTTATGATTGTGCACTTAATAGTCTATCTTTACTGTTTTATTTGGAAGGTTCAACTGTAAATTTAGTCTTCAATTTCATTTAAGATATTTGTAGGAAATAAACTGTTTTCATTACTGCAATCCATGGGAATATTGTGATCAAAGGAAAATACACATTAATTGTCCAAACAAGCTTCCAAATGATCTAGTAGGCTCTAGATACAGATAGATCATATTCTTTGTTTGAATAGGATTAATAAAGAAAATGGGCATTGAAGGAAGCTGACTTTGCTGTACGCCTGCGAGTGCCACAGAGGTGATTGCAGTCTTTAATAAAAAAATGAAAAAAATAAATAAAAGAAAAGAAAAGAAAGAAAAGTAGGTGTAAAATATGTGATACTGCTGCCATCTAGTGGTCTTATTTTACTGATGTCTACATTTCAATTAAGATTGGTGTTTTTCCATTTTAGGCAATTCTATCATTCATGCCACCAAATAAAAATCAATTATTTAATTAAAATTCTTTATTAACCAATTTTGAATTCAGCACATATTGTTTTATTTAACCCACAAATTAAATGGTCTATATAATTGCACAATATTGTTTTTTGGGGAAAAATTGTATTGTTTTATTAACAGTTAATATAAAAACACAGGCATATTTTCTGTATATTTGTTTTATTATTTAATGCATTTATGGTTTTTATAACTCATACACATCATTTTGAATGCACTGCAACAGGGATGACACAGATCTGCTGTTTCTACAAGCAAACTACAGCAAACACATGAGCATGAGCTATCTCCGTCATTTCTAGAATATTAACTCATTGAGCCCGGAAGGGGTTTCCAATGCATTGTTATAACACAGTATTTAAAAGATAACATCTACGTGATTAAAATAAAGTAAAAATCTTGCTGAAAAGAGGGTTCAATTAAGGTGCATGTACAAACAAATAAGAAGTGCTGTGTCCTTGTTTATTATGGTATTTTGGCACTTGGTACTTTAGCTATACATACATAATTAATTAATCTAATACAAAACATCCTAAATCAGTAATGTACAAGTATCAAAGTTCAAAAGATTGCCAATGCTACAAAAATGATGTGTATTAAATCCTTTCAATCATAGTAAAGTATGAACTTGAGTATATACCTATAGTATTGGATGACAATGCAACTGTATCATTGCAGCAAACAGATCTAGACAGACTAAACTTTTTGTTTCCTTAGTGCAAAGTTTGTACAGACGTATGGATCAATTCAGGTACAACATGCTCAAGAAATCACCTTCGTATTGTCCTTGTACTATGCTTCTCCTACTTCTCTACTCTTGGCTGGCAATAATAATTAGTTGAATTCTCATTATAGCTTGAGGACAAAGGGTTGAAAAGGACTGTACATATACAATAAAGTGACTCTTTTAACAAAATATAAACTGAAATCTAAAGTTGGTTTAAGAAACTCTAGTGAATAAATACAATGTGAGATGAATTGATTTTGAATGTACTTCCACCATGCATCGTAAATTGATTCCTGCAGGCAAAGCTCAGGACATTTAAATCATTTGCTATAATTGAAAGTTAAAAGTACCATTTCTTTGTCTCCTATAATGTCAGCATTATTGAATTACATACAAAGTATAGAACTGTGGTATTTATCGAACACCCAGCTGCACTCTAATTGCCCAAATTTGGTTATTTGAAATAATATGTAGTTATTTGAATTCACATGATTTTTACAAACAGAATGGGACAGCTTGTGGGACTGCTTCCCCATATATTGTGGATCTCCTACCCAGTGGTCAACCTCGGGCAGCTACCAGAAAATGACTCTGATTTATAAGATCCCTCACAAAGGAGGCTTAAAGGCCATACTTAAAGACATTGGATCATTAATCCTGCAGACCCCTCTATAGTACAGGAAGAGATGCACACCATGATGGATAAAGTCAAGGCCATGGATTAGGACTCTTGACCTGAAGGCCTAAGCAGGCCTGTCATGCCTCTATATAACTACATGTTATAGTCTACCATGACATTTCTGCCTCTTTACCAGCATAATTTAATAGTTATGTAAGTTTAGAAGAGAAAATTAATTACAACCTTTCACACATATTTTCTCAATCACCAAAAACCTTATTTCAAGCAAATTCTAAAGTCACCACAAAAAGGTAAACTAATCCCCTTTCACTACAAAGTGCCAATACGATTTCTACTTGGATCAACAATTGTCACTCTTATTTTAGTTGTTATAGCACTTCATATCCTGCCAAATAAAAACAAAAAAACAGAACCTATGTATCTATATATATTTATATACACACATATATTATACCTTACTTATACACAATATGTCCACACGTTTGCCACAAAACAGAGCCTTTCCAAAGTGTATATAAGCTGTGTTAAATCTAAAACGTGCAGTAAAATGATGCTATATAAGCTATATAAAAGAAGACAGCCAGGGCTCAATATAAATCGCAAGTGCATATATTACAGCTAGACATTAGCTCTGGAAACTGTTAGTGCACTTCTTTATTTATTACTTCCAACTTGAACAAACATACTACACTATTAATTCTATTCCTTTCCTTTGTATATCTACATCTAAGAAAATTCAAGGCACAAACTCCCACTTTTTCCTCATGTCCACAAGATATCTCTAGCTTTCGGTCACTTCACAATAGAAACAGAAGATGGCACTAACCCATTCACAGTGTTACTGCAAGATGTCACAAAACATCCACTGACCTCACAATATATCCATGGAATGTTGCTCATCAACCACTGACCTCACAGTGTATCGATGGAATGTTGCTCATCATCCACTGACCTCACAGTGTATCCATGGAAAGTTGCTCATCAACCACTGACCTCACAGTGTATCCATGGAATGTTGCTCATCATCCACTGACCTCATAGTGTATCCATGGAATGTTGCTCATCAACCACTGACCTTACAGTGTATCCATGGAATGTTGCTCATCAACCACTGACCTCACAGTGTATCCATGGGATATTGCTCATCAACCACTGACCTCACAGTGTATCCATGGGATGTTGCTCATCAATCACTGACCTCACAGTGTATCCATGGGTTGTTGCTCATCAACCACTGACTTCACAGTGTATCCATGGGATATTGCTCATCAACCACTGACCTCACAGTATATCCATGCGATATTGCTCATCAACCACTGACCTGACAGTGTATCAATGAGATGTTGCTTATCAACCACTGACCTCACAGTGCATCCATGAGATTTAATTCCACACTAGGATATCACTTAGAAACCACTCACCTCACAATGTATTCACAGGATGTCACTTAGCAACAACTCACCTCACAGTGTAACCATGGGGTTTAACTCAGGAACCACAGACCTTATAGTTTATCCTTTAGGCATCACTCAACCTCTACTCACCTTACACTGTATCCATAGGGTATGACTCAGCAACCACTCACCTTCCAGTGTTTCCATGCGATGTTACTTAGTAACTACTCACCTCACAGTGTATCCATGGGACATTAGTCAGAAACCACAGACTTTACAATTTATGCTTTAGGCATCACTCAACCTCCACTCACCTTACACTGTATCCATGGGATATGACTCAGCAACCACTCACTTAACAGTGTAGCCATGGGATGTTATTCAATAACTACACACCTCACAGTGTATACATGGTATGTTACTCAGTAACTACTCACCTCACAGTGTGTTTACATGGGACATTACTCAGTAACCACTAACCTCAGTCTCTCTATGTGTTTGAAGCTGGGAATTATAAACGTATTACTATAAAACAATAACTTTCTTTGTAACTTACTGAATGATCAGTCTCCTGGATAAAGTAATTAACCAGTCCTTGTTAATGATGTGTCCGGTCACTAACCAGCCTCCATTACTGCTGTGTG